CGCCTAGGCGAAATCGTATAGTTAGTTGGACAACACTGAAGTACAAGAGGGCGCTACTATCAATACTGGGTTATCTATCAGATACAAAGCCTGTGCAGTGACTAGAATACTAACCGGCCACTGCAAACTAAACAAATACAAATCAAACATGAACATGACCGAGGAAACTGTGCAGATTCTGCCATACAGAAAAAGAAATGGCCATGCATGTTCTTTGCTCATGCGGCCCGCTTATGAGCAAAAGAAGTCGCGCTGTCGGTGCACCGCATCCGCGCAATCCGCGGTGATACTGACACGTTCGCGGAGCATATCGTCGGTGAGCCGACGGTCAAACGTCGGTTCAATATAATATCAAAAGTATCCATCTCGGGCGACACATCATGCATCCGGATGAGATAGCAGATATCACGCTCCAAAGAATCTGAAAATTTATAGACTCAACGGGACTAAGCAGTGAACTCTAAAGACAAGGGCTGCCACAATAGATCAAATCTGGTCGAGCTGGCGCAAATGAAGGCCCAAAAACCAATAATAATAATATCTATCAGTACCAATTTTCGTGGACGTTTCAGAATCGTGACATCAAGTCGCGCTCTGTAGGATCAAAATTAATAAATATTCAAGAATGGCTGACATTTTTACCAAGGAATCGTTGTCATTACACACCTACACGTTTCACACAAAATTTACTTAATAGGCTTCTACGAGGAAAACGTAGGCGACTGTAATCGGAGATACTATTTTATGATAATCATTATTTTCCTTCGGAAAAACACATGATACTTGTCTAAAGGCTTCGATGCTAAAAATAAAATACTTTGTCAGTAAAGTAAGGTACAATTACCGTTTATATGAATTTTATTGTAGGTACATAAAAAGCAAAAAAAAGAAATAGCTGATTCATTATAACGATACCTATATTTGATAGAAATAAAAAGAAAATTGTTAGGCTTGGAAAGTCTGATTAAATACTTTTTATTAGCTAAAAGTAAAATCTTTAACCTAACCTTCTTAACTTCATTGAAATATTTGAGGCAAACTACAATAAAACATGTAGAATTCAGCACACAAAATGAATGAATGGAAAGTATGTCAATTGAATTGTTAGTATTTCAAATATTAAATCGTTTTACCATTCCACGCTACCATTTGTTGTACTGAAATGAATTTTATTAACAACTACGAGTTTTGCTTTGCCATTTTTCCAGCTATTGTGCCTTTATTTGAATGATTAATGCTAGTTTCAAGTCCGCAAAGCAATTCTTAAAAATTGCGAACGGAATAATCACAGACAGAGTCTCTAGACTACATTTTGGTTTCATCGAATCTCAATAATATCATCTAATTAATTGCTTTTCCTAATTACCAAATTTTCATTTGTACAAGCAACAAGTTATTTCTCTAATCAAAATGTTAATTGGGTTGTTCTAGGTGCTAAAATATTATTTCTCATAAGTAGTATAAAATATAGTTTCTCGAAATCCGTGGGGGAAGACTTTTGTCCAACCGTGGATGGCATTAGATTGAAACGAACGAACGAGGATCATCATTTCAGCCACAAGACGTCCACTGCTGAACATAGGCCTCCCCCAATGACTTCCACATCGCACGGTTGGTAGCGGCCTGCATCCAGCGCCTTCCTGCTACCTTTATCAGGTCGTCGGTCCACCGTGTGGGTGGACGTCCCACGCTGCGTTTTCCGGTACGCGGCCTCCATTCCAGAACCTTGCTGAACGAGCGAGGATGCTATATCCAAAAATATTGTAAATCAGAAGTGATAGCTCGTATGAAAATCAAAAAGCTGCGAAGATGGTGTCCAAAAAGGTGTAGGTAAATAATGATAATTATTTTGAAGTACCTACCCAGATTAGGCAAGGCAGATTTAACGCGGGTTATCTGTAACCCTAATAATAATAATCTTGGTCTGCCAAGAGCAAAGCTAAGTTAGTTGTTAGTTTAGTTCAGATAGTTAACGTAGAGCTTGCAGAATGTGCACAAGGACACAACTACGGAAAACTGCGTTACCTATGCGCCCGGAATAACAGTAAGCTTCTGTGTTTTCCGTTCTCCAAAGAAATGGTGGTCAAATAGCGGTGCTACATTGTATGAATTTGTCATTTCATAAGTTTACTAATGTGCCAACTTCCAGGTAGTTTTCTTTGTTGCTGGATAAACGTTTGCTTTTGTACGGTAGGCGGTAGGTAACTACAGAGTTAAACTTAGCTTTTTAGTTCCTGGAAGAAATGTTGAGTGTTTAATTTAGCTAGAGCTTTAGTTTAGGTCAGTTGAAAGAAAGTTACGACAGTAAATCCTAAACGTTTTCAAAGTTCCTGAAAGAAATTTTGAGTGCTTAATTCAAGTAGATTTTAATTTTAGGTCGTTGAAATAAAAGCTACAATAAAACAGTTAAGTAATTTAGTCTTGCGGGGCGATGAATCCCTTCAGATTGTATTACCTACTTTTATATTTCCTGAACAACGAGTCTCAACTCACAAGGAACCCACAAGGTGGACCGACGACCTCATAAAGTTAGCAGGACGGCGCTGGATGCAGGCCGCTACCAACCGGGCGATGTGGAAGTTATAGGGGGAGGCCTATGTTCAGCAGCAGGACGTCCTCCTGTTACCTTACTCCTTACTCAAATGTAGCTCTATTATACATTTTTTTTTACATTACACGTGTGTGTGTTAGCATTTATTTACCAATCACATTTTCTTACTCGTTACTTGATTTATTATGCGAGAAAAAATCTTCTTTCTGAGCAACTTTTCAAATTCGTAGTAGATATTTTTAAAAGATTTATGATTTTTTTCATTCATCGACTGGATATTATTTATTTTAAGTCGATGAATGCTAACAGCATTCATAATTAAGTTAGCCTTTTGAAATGGATTGTATCGGGTTACTGTTTCAGAACTTTAGAAACAAAATTAATTTGCTTATTTTCAAACAAACTTGCAAAAGTCTTTAAAACATTGAAACCTTTAGAATTTCGAATTTACTTTTCATCAAAAAGCAATCACTACTTTGAAGTTTAACACAATTTATAAGCCGTGTTTGGTTCAAAAGTATTTGTTTATTTAAAACTTACTATTTTTGAATATTTTAAGGATACCTATCTAAATCAGTTATTAAAATTTCTTAGCGATTAGAGTCGCTTCTCAAACTAATTTATAAATAACTTGAAAAAATCGAACTGCCTAAGGCGGGAATAGAACCCACGACCGCTTGCCGGGCGACTGCTCTTCCATCTGAGCTACTTAGACATTGAGTGTGTTAGTGGATCGTGGGTTCGATTCCCGCCTTATAGGCAGTTCGATTTTTCAAGTTATTTATAATTTACTCTAAATCCATAAAATGATACATGAGATAGGCTTAACGCTAAATGCGTTCTTCACCAGTTTTTTTGAAGTAACAGTATTTTAGGGAAATACAAGAATAAATATGTTTAATTGAGGCCCTTTCCCCATTATGCGCAAAATATATTTTTATTGCAACGCAACATTAATCCTAGTGTTAAGCTCGAAATAGGTTAGTTAAACCTTACACGTTAACTAGAACGTCTAAACAACATGCTACGTGGCAAGCGATATCTTGACAGTTCGCAAACAACGCTGCGCTTGCGGTCTACGCCATAGTGCATGCCAACGTAAATATTTGACTTTCGCCAAAAATACGCTACGATCAAAATTGAGATTTGTGAAGTTATTTTTGGGCAGACATGTGTAGTTATGCTGATGAATGATTTGTGTTCTATTGAATTATGATCTGATTACAAAATATTTAAAATTACGAGTATAACAATGTTAGAACAGATACGTGTTACTTGATACTTTGTGAGTAAGTACTCGTACCTATGCACACTGAATACCAGGGTCGTGGCCTTCCCCACCGTGGGCCACGGCATATGCTGAGTCGAGTCCCATTGCGATGGGCATCGCTGTTGCGACAGGATAGCACTGCTCAGTTCACTTTTTATTTCCTTGTAATATTTATGTGCTATGTCCGTATTCTATTCTTTGTCCTTAACTAAGTGATGTTCATCGTAATAAATGTTTCTTTTTTTCTTGCCTATTATGTAGTTATGACCAATATTGGTTTCCATACTAATTACCTACGAGTACGTACGTGCAAAACAATCTTAGATCAGGTAAGTGTGAAGCTCTACAAATGGTAGGTAAATGGTCGATTTGAAGCGCAGTTAAGTTTTAATAGTAATATACCCGCAGTAATACGTGTAGTCCAGTCAATAAAGCATTATAGATGGAAAACTGTAGAACACAATTTCTGACTTCAGGACTTTATTTAGACTAGTTAGGAGGTGAACATAGCCAAAGTCCCCGCCCTTAGCCCTTGAGCCGGCGGGGAGAGGGGGGTTTAAAGNAGGGCATTTTTTGGAGAAATTTATCAAATAACCAAAAAAACACGAATTTAAAAGCAATTTTTTTTCAAAAAGTATCATTTTTTATTATTTTTTGGCCTTTTTTGTGTATTTTATGTATTTTTTTAATATCGCCTGTTATTTAGCATTATTACTGTTTTTATTTTATCGGGATATACCGCTTAGTTTAAAAGTTATTACGTTTTCTTTTCAGTAAGTAATTGGAAGAAAAAAAATTCTTTAAAAAATTAAAAAAAAAACTCATAAAATTTTTGACCTATTTTTTGTCGATAAAAATAGGTCTAGTTTCATCTATTTTCATATGTACACTTTAACGTGACTCACACTGTATAGCTTGCCCTACCAACACTTCGGGACAACATATGGGCTGGTGCTGAGAAGAAGTGGGGGAAGAAACTCACGCTCGTATTCACAAACATTACTATGAGATTTCACAATGCGCGTGGACGCACAGGGTCACACACGAACCAATCACAGAGCTCTATTCAACGCTGTGCGTTCGATTTGCTGCTTCACTTAAGCAAGCATTGTTTGTGAATACGGGCGTCAGTCACGTTTGAATATTATTGTTGTACTTAGAATTGACGCAGCCAAGCACATGTGGCCAGGAGACCTTCGCGTCATCTACGAGAGGCTTCGCAACCTAAACACGAACCACGGATTCCCCGCCGGCGCCCGTCCCTACATCTACCAGGAGGTCATCGATCTTGGAGGAGAGGCCGTCACCAAACACGAGTACACTCCTCTGGCTGCTGTCACCGAGTTCAAGTTCGGAATGGAGCTCAGCAGGGCTTTCCAACGCGGCAACCAGCTCAGGTAATTTAGATACAATACCTATTAGTTCACGAGCTGGAAGACTTAGTGTGGAAAGGCCTCCCATTAGGAGGACCGACGATCTGTGGTGCCTGGATGAGGGCGACGCAGGACCGGTCTTTGTGGAAATCCTTGGAGAGGCCTTTGTCCAGCAGTGGACGTCATTCGGCTGAAACGAATGAACCTATAGTTCTATACTTTGCTGTCATCATTCATGTGTAAGCATACCTACTAAGTTTAGAAAGAACATGAATTTTTTTCTTATTTATTAAGTAAGTAGTTCTATATTGCTAATTTTCTAACAGTCAGACATTGGTCCAACAGAGAACTACCAATTCAGCAAAAAAGTTCCAAAAATTTCACCCGTTTTACAAACCTTTATCTTCTACTAGCTGACCCGGCGAACTTTGTTCCGCCTTAATGGCAATAAATAAGCAGACTTTTTTTTTATTTCTAACGGGATAAAAAGTATCCTATGTCCTTCTCCTGGTTCTAAACTACCTCCCTGACAATTTTCAGCTAAATCGGTTCAGCCGTTCTTGAGTTATAAGTGGTGTAACTAACACGACTTTCTTTTATATATACAGATTTATTTATTCTGCTGTTTAATTCTTTTCGTTTTGCGCCCCTCAATGATAGTAATTTCATCCATCAATATCAGAAATGCAAAGGGAACACCGCATTTCATGAAGCAACTAAAATATCGCAGTCAAACTTCCAATCAAAAAATTCGGAAATTTAATTCTAAATCCTTCTAGATGGTTGGTCAACTGGGGACCACAATGGGGTCTGATGGACTCCGAAGACTCTCTCACATTCATCGACAACCACGACAACCAGCGCGGTCACGGAGCAGGCGGCAACATCCTCACCCACAGACAGCCCAAGGAGTACAAAGCAGCTATCGCTTTCATGTTGGCCCATCCTTATGGAGAGCCCCAACTGATGAGCAGCTACTCGTTTACTGACACTGAAGCTGGACCCCCGATGAATAATAACCAGGATATCATCTCGCCCTCTATCAACTCGGTAAGTTTGAATTCGTTTGTAATCATGGTAATGGGCAAATGCTCGTTAGGAAGTCTAAAAGGGATGTGTTCTTGCTCATAGATCGCATTATTACCCTTTGGGTGAGATTGAAGTATCCTATCCATTTCCATGCATTCGAAAGTAGCTCGATGCTTCACATTCAGGATTTGAATAAAATAATGACTACATCTAAAAATATACGTAGTGTAGGACAGTCACCTGCTTAATAGACCGATGACCTTTAAGATACCTGGAAGCAGCAGGATGAAAAAATTGAGAGATTGTGTTTGGCATCAGCAGTACTTAAAAAATCAGTAGTTCGTGCTCAGGAATTCTATTCCTTACGATTAGTATTGGACGCTGCACTGGTGCCTGATGACTATCATGATTACAAGAATCCATTGCTTCATAATTAAAGTTCACCATTTCACCAAACAATCGTTTTCCAGGACGGTACCTGCGGCAACGGATGGGTGTGCGAGCACCGCTGGCGCCAGATCTTCCAGATGGTGCAATTCAGGAACGTTGCTGGCAACACTGGCCTCAACGACTGGTGGGACAACGGTAGCAACCAGATCGCCTTCTGCCGTGGTGGACAGGCCTTCATTGCTTTCAACAACGACCTGTGGGATCTGAGCCAGACTCTGCAGGTCAGTTTTGTCTTCTTATTTATTTATGGTCATGAACATACCTCTATTGGGTAAGATAATTTTGTAGGTTTCCTTGTGTCAAAAGAACAAAAACGGAATCCATGGACGAAGAACATGGAGCCAGTAAATAACATTTGAATTTCATTTTGAATTAGTTTAAATCTGGTTTTAAAGTATTTGAAATGAATTTAAACTTGAAAAAAGTCGGTATAACTCCAGTGGTCCAGAAGCTGGGTAACTATTATTGACAGACTGTTGACTCAGACGAAGAAGTGAACGGAAAAAGCAGTTCAAATGAAAAGTAGCGGATTAAAATCTCAGCCAAGATGTTGAATTTAAAGTTTTAATTTCGTTTCAGATATTATGGTAATTATCAATACCATTATATGTAAATGCAAACAATCTTTGTAACTAGGTATTTATTTAGTCAGACTACATTCACTTTTAAAAGGGTACATTTCTTTTTTACTGAATGAATTTTTACCTCTTTAGTCAGACTACATTCACTTTTTTTTTTAATTTTTGGACTACTTAATTGAATTTTTCATTTAAAAAATATCTCTGCGTACAGACATGTCTACCCGCGGGCCAGTACTGCGACATAATCTCGGGCTCCCGCAGCGGTAATGGATGCACCGGCAAGGTGGTGACCGTCGGCAACGACGGCCGCGCCCACATCTCCGTCGGAGCTAACGAATACGACATGATGCTGGCTATCCACGTAGGAACACAGGTATGATTATTTTTAACGCATTCGGGTAAGCCTAATAAGTTAAGTTGGGAGAGGGTTCTATTATGAAGTCTTGGGGTCCGATTAAAGACTGATACCCGTTTCCACTATCAATCCCTAATTTTTAAGTGACCCCTATGGTTTTCGTAGGGGTCACTTAAAAATTAGGGACTGATGGTAAAAACTGGCATANTTTTAGTTTAGTTCAGATAGTTAACGTAGAGCTTGCAAAATGTGCACAAGTACACAACTACGGAAAACTGCGTTACCTATGCGCCCGGAATAACAGTAAGCTTCTGTGTTTTCCGTTCTCCAAAGAAATGGTGGTCAAATAGCGGTGCTACATTGTACGAATTTGTCATTTCATAAGTTTACTAATGTGCCAACTTCCAGGTAGTTTTCTTTGTTGCTGGATAAACGTTTGCTTTTGAAATACACAGTTAAACTTGTGGTTAAACTTAGCTTTTTTAGTTCTTGGAAGAAATGTTGAGTGTTTAATTTAGCTAGAGTTTTAGTTTAGGTCAGTTGAAAGAAAATTTAGAACAATAAATCCTAATATTTTTTAATCAGTTGTTGCTGAAAGAAATTTTGAGTGCTTAATTCAAGTAGATTTTAATTTTAGGTCGTTGAAATAAAAGCTACAACTATAAATAAAACAGTTAAGCAATTTTACTCCTGCGGGGCGATGAATCCCTTCAGATTGTATCCTACCTACTTTTATATTTCCTGTACAACGAGTCTCAACCCACAAGGTGGACCGACGACCTCATAAAGGTAGCAGGACGGCGCTGGATGCAGGCCGCTACCAACCGGGCGATGTGGAAGTTATAGGGGGAGGCCTATGTTCAGCAGCAGGACGTCCTCCTGTTACCTTACTCCTTACTCAAATGTAGCTCTACTATACATTTTTTTTTACATTACACGTGTGTGTGTTAGCATTTATTTACCAATCACATTTTGTTACTCGTTACTTGATTTATTATGCGAGAAAAAATCTTCTTTGGAGCAACTTTTCAAATTCGTAGTATTTTTAGAAAATTTATGATTTTTTTCATTCATCGACTGGATATTTATTTTAAAGTCGATGAATGCTAACAGCATTTATAATTAAGTTAGCCTTTTCAAATGGATTCTATCAGGTTACTGTTTCAGAACTTTAGAACCAAAATTAATTTGCTTATTTTCAAACAAACTTGCAAAAGTCTTTGAAACATTGAAACCTTTAGAATTTCGAATTTACTTTTCATCAAAAAGCAATCACTACTTTGAAGTTTAACACAATTTCTAAGCCGTATTTGGTTCAAAGTTTACGTTCAGTACCTATTTAAAGTATTTGTTTATTTAAAACTTACCATTTTTGAATATTTTAAGGATACCTACTATCTACATATATATAGTTATTATAGTTTCTTAGCGATTAGAGTCGCTTCTCAAACTAAATTATAAATAAATTGAAAAAATCGAACTGCCTAAGGCGGGAATAGAACCCACGACCGCTTACCGTGGGTTTGATTCCCGCCTTAGGCAGTTCGATTTTTTCAATTTATTTATAATGTACCTATCTAAATGCATAAAATACTAAGGCTTAACGCTAAAAGCGTTCTTCACCAGGTTTTTTGAAGTAACAGTATGTTATTTTAGGGAAATACAAGAATAACTTTTCCAATTTATGCGTAAAATATATAATTTTATTGCAAGGCAACATTAATGCTAGTGTTAAACTCGAAATAGGTTAGTTAAACCTTACACGTTAACTAGAACGTCTAAACAACATGCTACGTGGCAAGCGATATCTTGACAGTTCGCAAACAACGCTGCGCTTGCGGTGTACGCCATAGTGCATGCCAACGTAAATATTTGACGTTCGCCAAAAATACGCTACGATCAAAATTGAGATTTGTGAAGTTATTTTTGGGCAGACATGTGTAGTTATGCTGATGAATGATTTGTGTTCTATTGAATTATGATCTGATTACAAAATATTTAAAATTAGGTACGAGTATAACAATGTTAGAACAGGTACGTGTTAGTTGATACTTTGTGAGTAAGTACCTACTCGTACCTATGCACACTGAATACCAGGGTCGTGGCCTTCCCCACCGTGGGCCACGGCATATGCTGAGTTGAGTCCCATTGCGATGGGCATCAAAATCAAAATCAAAATCAAAAATATTTATTCAGTTTAGACCACAAGTGGCACTTATGAACGTCAATAGAAAATAATAAAAAAAGAAAAGGTAGCCCTACCAGCGCTTCGAGACAAACTACCCCTACATCGCTGTTGCGACAGGATAGCACTGCTCAGTTCACTTTTTATTTCCTTGTAATATTTATGTGCTATGTCCGTATTCTATTCTTTGTCCTTAACTAAGTGATGTTCATCGTAATAAATGTTTCTTTTTTTCTTGCCTATTATGTAGTTATGATTATGACCAATATTGGTTTCCATACTAATTACCTACGAGTACGTACACGTACAAAACAATCTTAGATCAGGTAAGTGTGAAGCTCTACAAATGGTATAGGTAAATGGTCGATTTGAAGCGTAGGTAGTTAAGTTTTAATAGTAATATACCCGCAGTAATACGTGGGTATTAAGTAAGTATCAAGAGAGTGGTCTCTTAAGAAATCTGTAGATCGAAATAATCACTTGCTTGAATTTTCTTTGCTTAAGCATGAATCGAGTTTTTAGCTCTGTTTAAGAATACAATTGTATTCTTTAACCGACTTATAAAAGGAAGTTCTCAGTGTTTGTTTGATGTCCTTAACATTAAGAGCCGATATACTTCAATTAACATTCGTATAATTAAGCAATGAGTAAAAAGGACACGATAAATTGGAATCCTTGCGCAATTATGTCGACTAATGAAGACACAGTCGGGTAAAACGAATTAAATGCTACCTGCCTCTTGGGGAAGTACCGAATTAAATACATATTAATCGTAGGATTATTCTGTTAGTAGATACTTAAGCCGAGAGCTTTCTCTAGAGGGGCTATTTACTGCTAATACTGTTATGGGTAAGGTAGTTGTACGAGTATAGACCTAGGGCCAAACCTCCAAGTGTGGGAAATTGTTAATTTAGTATTAGACCAAATCCAGAACCGAAAGAGTGTGGAAAATTCCGTTTCAATATTCTGACAGTAAAAAAATTTAATGGTACAGTAACTTGATGTCAGTTTGAGTATCGAATTATGAAATGTTGGTCTGTGTGCTTACCATGAGTTTACGTTAGGTGAGCTCGCTAGCGAATACGTCAAAAAATTCTATGAAGATTTATTTCTTGAAAGTAGCCGTTAGGGGCGCTGCACAATATGTCATACATTTAAATGTCATTTTTTTACGCAGTCGCTAGCGAGCACACCTAACGTAAACTCATGGTAAGCACACTGGTGTCGCTGAATAAAATATTTCATTTTCTATTTTTTTCATTTTTAAATGTCTTTGAGCTTAAATTACTTAACTGAAATATTTTAATTATTCAACACCTAAAGATTGCTGTGCCTAAGGGCTTGTCTCTATTCTATAGGTATTTTCATAAAAATACAAGTGTTGCTTGATTTAGACGGGTCTAAGGAAAGCTGATTGCTCATTCATTTATAATTTACCCTTACGAGTAAATATCACAATGAACTAACGAGTGGGAATACCTTGTAAGACAGGATTTACTTAGCCAGTTTGAAGATGTTTTCTCGGAACCCCAGCGACCCAACTTAGTTTGAATTTACCAATTTGGGATCGATTTTTGGAACTTTTTGTTTCGTGACATTTACTGTAGCGGAACGGAAGACGATTCTTGAGACATTTTGAAGAGTTTTAAATATGAATATCTAGTCGAAACTTTTTGTTGAAGAATCTCTTCTATATCAACTATCTATACCGGATGTTGATCTCACTCGATTATTTCTAAACTAAACAAGATATTGAAAACCTGGTTTCTGATCCTGAAAGTGCTTTACGAGCTCTATCAAACGTATCAATAATACTTAGGTTACAGAATAAACTGGATCTATCCGAAAATTCAATGTTTCCAGTAGAGTACCTGTTATTACCATTTCGAGGCAATTGAAGTAGATATCTCATTCCACTCACCTATAGGTTCATACACATTCGGCATTATGGTACTTACATGTATGAATGTTTGAAAATAGACTTATAGCTTGGTAAAGCTGAGAAAGCCATTTAATACAGCTACCAACTATAGATATTTCCAAAAAAATATAGGCCACTTTTTCATTTCCTAACTTTCTTTCTGCGAATTCATATATTAGTTTTAGACATCAAGGACGGCGATAACTTGTCTGGCTTTCCCTAGTTAAAGAATAAAAGATGGTGACACGTTCCTAGTGTCTATATTCTATACAATGTGACTGAAGTGGTGGTAATAGCCGCTACACACGGCTTCGCTAAGTTAAATATAGTTTTGACCCAAATAAAACTTGACTCGCGACCCGGGACTATTCAATTATTAATGTACCCAATAGGCATACGGTAAATATTACCTTCTATTGACATTACTAATATGGTAAGCATTACCCAAATTAGTTACGAATTCTGACGAAATTCTACGCAGTATTCTAATCAAGTGACTGAAAGGGTAGAATATGAAGGACACTCAAGGTTTTTTTAGTTTTGCAAAAATATTTGTGATTTAATGTCATTTTGTGATTGTTCAGCTGGATAAAGGCCTCCTCCAAGAATTTCCACATCGACCGATCCTGCTTTGTTCAGGTGCTTCCATGGACCTGACCTTCACCATGTCGTCGATTCACTTAACAGGTCTGCCTACGTCTTCCGGTCTATGGTTGACACTCGAGAAGTTTTTTTCCCCAACGGCCATCAGTACGAACGAGGTATTTTATACATGAGTAACTTAATGTCGATTATTATACACTGAAAATATTATAACTTAGACAATGTTAGCCTGTCTAAAACGTCCTTTTTCCACCCTTTAGGCTGAAACAATACTTGTTATATTTAATCCAAGTCCTTTATACTAATGAACGACTGGACAATAGGAACCTAAACTTTCCTTAAGCTTTGAGTTGAAATTAACTGACAATTTTACTAATTTCTATTTCCTCTCCCATTCTAAATAGGTATTTCTTGTTTAATTATTTTAAAAGGGATTTGGCAAGACGAACTAGAAAGTTAAGGGAACTAGAGCTTTACGGCTAAAAGGGTAGTAATATTTTATGTACAGTAGTAATGTAAGTGGCGGTGACTATCCCAACTAATATTATAAATGCGAAAGTAACTCTGTCTGTCTGTCTGTCTGTTACGCTTTCCCGCTTAAACCTCGCAACCGATTTTGATGAAATTTGGCATAGAGATAGTTTGAGTCCCGGGAAAGAACATAGGATAGTTTTTATCCTATGTTTACCTATGATTACGACATGGTTTGGTTATGTAAAAAAAATATTTTCATCTAAAAAATACACTCTTTGACTGACCCATACCCCATTGTTGAGAATAAAATAAGTAGTTTAGTTTTTTTGTACTAAATTAGATTTATTATACTGTTGCTAATGTTGCTATACTTGTAGAATTATTTTTCCTATATTCATTTCCTATGTTCTTGTGTTGTCATAATAAAATTTAGGTAAAAGAAAATGCATTAGGTATGTATTAAATTAACATTCCAGTACTTTTTTTTACAATTACCGGTATTTACCGCAAAATAACGGACACCATTTCAAAAAAGCTCCATATGCTATGTCAAACACCGGTATCGGAATCTCCGCCCGCCTACTGGTCTCCGCCTTACTTCCCGCCCGCGCCTGTCCTGTCGCTCGCTTCAGTCGCTCACGTCGCTCGAAGCGGTACAACCGTGCGCTCGGACCGCGTCACACCACGTAAATTTTTAATCCCCGACCGATATTCACCTCCGAAATTAATTTCGAATTTGGAACAAATCGATCTTAGCTTTTTAAATGGTGTTTTATGTGCCAGTGTAAAGGTTTCAGCCAAATGGTGGCCGGTGTAGTTTTTTGAAGTGTGCCAAGTAAGTTTTTGAAGTGTACGCCAGTGGAGTTTTTTGGGCGGGCGTCCTGACATTCCTATTTCGACGGGGTAAGTTTTAAAATTCTCTTTTTCCGTTATATTTTAATATTAGTAACTGTTTATTTTCAGTAAAACTTGCAAATATTATAATGTTTAAGTACTTTTTAAACATGAAAATAGTACCTACTTGATTTTTCTTGTGACCTATATTTAAAAGTTTTATTTGAAAGCTGTACCAAGTGACAAAAACTTATCTTAATTTTATAGATTATCTATAACAAGTAGGTACGTAATATTAATTATAATTATAATACGTACTGAGTTTACTCGACTGTCAGGTGACCTCCTACATCAAAGGCCGAGCCTTTAATTTTCCGAGAATTTGCCTTAACGTTGCGAGATATTTTACTATTTACAATGAAGCTTGAAATATTGTATTCCTTTATCATATTTTCTTCAATGATTTCGTTTCATTATTTCATCTTTAGCTCTTTGCCCGAAGGTTTATTGAGTTTCCACTGAACTGCGTACAAATTCAGGATAAAAACGTTAATTCAGTAACGATAAATTATCAGCTCTTTAAAATCGACTTAATTGTATAGAACCAAATGTCAACATTAACTTTAAAAGCTTTGTTATTTTGTATCTTGTTAGCGAAACAAACGAATTGTCTACAGCCGGTAAAACACTCTGTCTTTTTGCAGCGATAAAAACGGTTGACTGCATCGCTACTTGGCCTTTATGACTTTAAGAGATATTAACAAGCAAACAAGTTTGTATCAATTTAGTCTAGTGATGTCCTAGTTTACGTGGCATGACGTGAAATGTCCTAAGAATCAATAAGTTATGATAGCATCGTCACGCGTCTAAATAACTGCAATTACGCTCGTAGGTACCTAGTACCTATGCATCGATATTACGCGCGTAAATTGCCATTCAATTAAATTACGCAGTTCGGCTTTTTTTTTTTTAGAAACAAAACAAGATTGGTCATTGCGGTTGCCGAAAAAGCTCTGAACTGAAAATGCTTTAGGCCCGATTCGACCAAACTTTTATCCGTGAATAAATCCTGGCACAACTGGCACATTGACAGTTTCAGTATGGGAAATATTTATGTCAAAACTGACGATTTATTCTGAGATTAATACTTACTCTTGTTTGGTCGAATCCATAGTAGGTAAAAGCCACTACCAATCAACCGCGCGATATGGAAATCATTGGGGAGGCCTATGTTCCTGTGGCTGAAATAATCATGATGATGATGATGAAATACCTTACCTACCTACTTAAGAAGTCAGGAGAGGAACGAAATGTCTGTCAAAATAGTCTGAAAGTAGCGTTGTGGCTGTGTTGTTTTAGAATCGACTGTAATGTCTATAGATGTTAGAAAGTATCGTAGTTCTTGGATTGTGACAGAATCACAACCATAAATGTAGGCAAAATACCTAAAAGCATCATTATTATGGACCTGGTTTTCCCGGTGCGTGCCTCGTGTACAGGCACGAAATCCGATTATCAAAATGAGTTTAGTACGATGACAGTACATTAACAAATCCATCGTGAACTAAGCTGACGCCCGTAATCACAAAAGGTGTTTGCTTATTTGAAGCAGAATATCGAACGCACAGCGTTGAATAGAGCTCTGTGATAGTTTCATAGTAATGCCTATGAATACGGGCGTGAGTTTCGTAGGTACCAACTACGTGTTGTGTATCAAGTCTTATTAGTTACTTAGCATGTTAGCGAGCAATACAGCCACATACTTAGCTTAGTAAATAGTTGATAAGTTTAGTTAATAGTGTAACATGCGGCGCGTGGCTCACGTATGCCCACGTTATAAGATATTCTAGTTTATAATTAAATCCCTTAAAGTACCTACGCACTGAACTTTAATTTTATTTTATTGTATTTACTTGGAAAACGGAATACATAGATTATTATTTTACATCTGTATTTTTGTATTTTTTTTTGTAATATTTGTTATTTTTTAACCAATCAGTAGGTAATTAGAGTACTATGCATGATGACGTCTAATACACGACATATCTCATATTTTAACGGAGTAAAAAACTAGTATGGTGAATTATGACATTAAGAAAATATAACGCCATCGTTAATGGTTAATATTGGATTATTTTAAATACATATCGATACCTCTGGGCTCAAAGGTCGTAAAGGACAAAGTACGACTTTTCAGGAGAAGCAAAAAACGATTTTTTATTTTTTTATTCGACGATAACTTTTTTGTTTTTTGAGCTATTAAATTATGACTTATGAAGAAAGTGCTTAGAATTCACAGCATTTTTCGAAGAGGTATTGAAAAACTAGACTAGAGCTGTATTTACGGAGATAGATTTCCTTTACGCCCTCAAAATTTCAATAAAAAAACCTTTACGCCCCTCAAATATTCGTCCTAGGCAAGTTACTCAGGACGTAAGTCTATTTTTATTTCACAAAACTACAAAACTAAGGTAATAAATGACAATTTACATAGTTTTGTAGGTTTTCATGGGTCGTAACGGGACACCCAGGTAAGGTATAATGAAAGTGTAAATTGATGATTTAGCTTAAATATTTTATATTTTATGGTATTTCATATATAATATACCATTTCTTCACATATTTTTAATCAACATTATAACACCTTAAAGTTAGTACTTCTTGCTTTAAATGCTCCAATCGAACTGCCTGTCCGGCGGCATGCCCGCGATAAGGCAACTTCCCCTTCCATTCGTCAGAGTCAACCGGCTCGAAACGACTTATCGACAGCATGCCCCGGAAGTAGTCAAAATCAATACTTAAATAACAATTTATTTCTAAATTACTAAATTGTATACAATAAAAATTCTAAAATAATTTCATTAAATAATAAACATGAAATGTGTAATTGAATATAATACAGAATAAATTCTAAAACCATTCTAATATCTGCAACAATGTCCAGGAAGTAGTCAAGTAAAGTATTTAATTTTAATAATGGGTTTTTAAATTCTGCCAAAATTATTACAATAACTATTTATAAGCAACTAATAATCGTATAAAATACAATATTAATTCTAAAATCATTACATTATGAAGTCCGGAGAGGAACGAAATGGTTGTCAAAATAGTCTAAAACGTAGCGGTGTGGGTGTGTTGTATTTGTATTAGAATTGACTGTGACATGTGGGTATAAAATAAAAATTTCACTATTGCTACTGTTATAATGTCTAAGTCTATAGATCTCAGAAAGTATCGTAACTAATGTTGATGATAGAATTATTGCCATAAATATAAGCTAAATGCCTAAAAGCATCATTATTATGGACCTGGTTTTCCCGGTGCGTGCCTCGTGTACAGGCACGAAATCCGATTATCACAATGAGTTTAGTACGATGACAGGAGGTACATTAATAAATCCACATATTATGCTTGCAGCTTATTTGAAGCAGAAAATCGAACGCACAGCGTTGAATAGAGCTCTGTGATTGGTTGAATAGAGCTCTGTGATAGTTTCATAGTAATGCCTATGAATACGGACGTGAGTTTCGTACCTACTACGTGTTGTGTATCAAGTCTTATTAGTCGTATTTAGTAGCATGTTAGCGAGCAATACAGCCACATACTTAGCTTAGTAAATAGTTGATAAGTTTAGTTAATAATGTAACATGCGGCGTGGCTCACGTATGCCCACGTAATAAGATATTCTAGTTTATAATGAAATCCCTTAAAGTACCTACGCACTGAACTTTAATTTTATTTTATTGTATTTACTTGGAAAACGGAATACATAGATTATTATTTTACATCTGTATTTTTGTATTGTTTTTGTAATATTTGTTACTTTTTAACCAATCAGTAATTAGAGTACTATCCATGATGACGTCTTAAAACACGACATATCTCATATTTTAACGGAGTAAAAAACTAGTATGGTGAATCATGACGTCAAGAAAATATAACGCCATCGTTAATGGTTAATATTGGATTAGTTTAAATACATATTACGATTACATAATTAAACATGATGTTAAATCTTGAAACTAGTTAGGTTTAAATCGAGTTTTGGATGTGTTCCAGATCGGTTTATCGTTTATCGATTCCTATCACCAGTGACTTATTGATTCGAAGAAACATAAATTGATTTAATACTTATGGATTCGTGCCATGTTACAATTTCATTGAAGAAAAGTTTTGCAATTTGTTTGTAATTACAAATCAAAATCCAAAACTCATTCGTCAAATCATAATAAGTAATGTACTTCTGACTTTGAATTCAAATTATATTTCACATCCATTCATTTTTATTTAAGCGGCACAAATTACTTGACATTTGAAGTCTTAATTAAATACCCTGAAACTTTTTTCATTGATTGATTGAAGAAAGCTTTAGCTAAGTAAGATTTTAAATGAAATTAACCAAGCGTTGATTGAATGACATTTTATCATGACCTTACTTTGTTCATAATTGAAAATGATTGTAAAGAAATGAGATGGAAGCAAAAGTTCAAAAAGGGAATCAGTGTTCTAATTGATCGATCGTATTTTTTTTCAATATTGGGTTAAGTGAGCGTTTCAGCATAACCCACTAACCTGCGGATTTTAGGGGAACGAACCCGCTCTATCTTTGTACTATTCTATATTCTACTATACTAGCTATATTCCTACGTCAAAAACTATATTGAAATCCCTACGGCATGGTAGCTAGGCTATGTAATATCTGGAAAACCTTCAAAAATAGGAATGAAAATAAAAAGAAAAAGAAAATAGAAAATAAATGAAGTTTTTAATAAGTTGAGTTAGTTTATAAGAACAGAAAAATAAAAGAGTGAGCAGTGAAAGTTTGTTATTAAGGATGTTTTTAAAACTTTTATCGATTACAACTCGACAGTTGTCCCTATCAGGTACGAAGATGACGTAAGTTGTTATGACGTTTAGTTTAATTTAAGAGTTTTCTCCTTCCATTACTCATAAGAAACAATGGAAGATCAGTGGTCCTAGCAGTGACTCACAATTAACGATCGGGGACCCATGTTTTTATCGGGAAGCACTACGTCAAACGAACCAGCTGTACAATTCATAATGAACTT